TGTTGATGACGGCAACCCTGAATAATCGATATCGATCACTCTTTGTTCTATGTTTTTTGTTATCCCTAACTCATGTATTAGTTATTATTAGTTTGTCTGTTCCGTATTTCTTGCCGGCTATTAACAGTAAATTCTATCTACGAAATTGAATATAAATTGGCTCTTCCGTTTGTCAGAAGTTAATATTGTTCTGTCCGCAGCATAGAAGAAAGCCGAAAGCGAGTAATTTGACTGTAATATAATTATTTATTTGCTATTGTAACTCTACATATTTACAGAGAATAAACCATGCCACGTCTTCTATTGTGAAGTTTGCGTTTCATTCTTTAAGCTATTTATGCGAGCGGACATTAATGAACATAGAATGAGATCACTATCGATAAAATGGAAATCCTCAAGGGAAATTTGTAATTTAAACGCATGGAATTTACATACATTCTTTTATTTTCAACCCCCGAATCGCTCAATTACTTCTATTTCTGAACGATCGCCATTAGGTAAATTGCATTTCCAAAGATTTTTTCAAAATAAATAGCGATGAGGGATATTTCATCCGCCGGTGATAAGAAATCGCAAACACCATAACGCACATCACTGATATTACTGTTCACAATCACGTTTACATTCAAAATTACAATTCATAATTTCGTCTTGTAGCAAATATGAAATATAGGTATATCCATTTACTTAAATGTAAACGGATTAAGAATCAAAGTGCTAGAAGAGATTTGAGCGTTTGTTACAAAAAGTATTTTTGATGTTCAAATTGTACTTAAAATCGGCGAATTGTTCTCNTGGATTCCATCAATTAGAGTGCTAGTTCGGAGTGTGGAGTCTCGCTGCCAAACGTGCAAGCTTCTAAAAGCCTCACCAAACCAACCGATAATGGGAGTGTTGCCACTGGATAGAGTTACCGCGTACGTTCGACCCTTTACATACACGGGACTCGATTACTTCGGGCCAATTGAGGTAACAGTTCGCCGGTGTAGAGAGAAAAGATGGATAGCACTTTTCACGTGCCTCACGGTACGCGCAGTTCATTTGGAAATCGCTAGTGATTTGTCAAGTGATGCATGTTTGCTGTGCATTAGAAATTTCATTAATCGCGGCGGTGTACCCTTGCAGATCCGAAGTGATAATGGTACCAATTTTGTTGGTTTGTTAAGGGAACTGGGCAACGAGGCAAAGTTTCTTGATCATGACATTATGGCCACCGGACTTACGCCGCTCGGTATAAAATGGAAGTTTAACACCCCATCGAACCCAAGCGAAGGGGGCGCATGGGAAAGACTCATAAGATCTGTCAAGAGAGCTCTCTACGCCATGTTGAAGGAGCAAGCACCTCGCGTTGAAACTTTGTACAGCCTCTTGGTCGAAACAGAGAACATGATTAATTCGAGACCTCTCACTCATTTGCCCGTAACTCCAGACCAACCGGAACCGTTGAAACCAAACCACCTTTTGTTAGGTGGCCTNATGCGAGCGGACATTAATGAACATAGAATGAGATCACTATCGATAAAATGGAAATCCTCAAGGGAAATTTGTAATTTAAACGCATGGAATTTACATACATTCTTTTATTTTCAACCCCCGAATCGCTCAATTACTTCTATTTCTGAACGATCGCCATTAGGTAAATTGCATTTCCAAAGATTTTTTCAAAATAAATAGCGATGAGGGATATTTCATCCGCCGGTGATAAGAAATCGCAAACACCATAACGCACATCACTGATATTACTGTTCACAATCACGTTTACATTCAAAATTACAATTCATAATTTCGTCTTGTAGCAAATATGAAATATAGGTATATCCATTTACTTAAATGTAAACGGATTAAGAATCAAAGTGCTAGAAGAGATTTGAGCGTTTGTTACAAAAAGTATTTTTGATGTTCAAATTGTACTTAAAATCGGCGAATTGTTCTCTTGTACTTTTTAAAATTAATTGTACTGAAAGAAGTACAATTGTACTTAAAATATCAACACTGTTTCACTGGCGTGACAAAGTACTTGCTGCAGTGATGCCAGATTTGAGCGTACCCAATAGTAACTCATGCGAGGAATTTGGGTATTGGGCATTTTACAAGCCTATTAGGAAGTATACATATCTGTGTTCGTATAGAATAGTAGCTTATGTCGGAAGTATAATGAACCATTGCGAAAGACTCACTGGCGCCGAGTCATTGAAGAACTCTTGGAAAACAAACGTAANCCGCTCCACGAAGCCCATCTCCACTGGATGCTTAGTACTTATATGCGAAGTCGATGTGCCGAGNCGTATAGAATAGTAGCTTATGTCGGAAGTATAATGAACCATTGCGAAAGACTCACTGGCGCCGAGTCATTGAAGAACTCTTGGAAAACAAACGTAAAAGAGGCAGCTGCGATGCTAGCAAGTCAATATTCGTATAAAGTCTCATAAAAAATTTCCTTGTGGTTTAAAGAATATAGGAAATGGTAGATTTTACTAAAGCCAGCCTCCCGACATAAGCTACTATTTCATTCGAGCACAAATATTATTCGTCTACAAATAATGTTGATTATTTTAATTAAGTCCTAAGATAAGTTTGTGAATCTTATCAGTGTTCTATGTTAGAACCAAAAATCCATCCCCTCGCCAATTAGAACTTTTGCATTAAAAGAAAAATATACATAGCGCATTTACTCAATACTTGGTCTGGCATCACTGTTTGAGCATTGATGTGCTCAGCTCACTGTTGCCAAGGTCGTGCATTTTGCACTAAATTTAGTGCTTTTGGGAAACCAAAAAGCCAAAATAATTGGAATTCAATGCTTGGTGCGTTATTTAGTGATGCTTTTTTAATTTATGTAAGCACACCGAATGCATAGGTACATATGTATGTATGTATACACTATACACTATTATTCTACATTAAGATGGAATTCATTTACTGAATAAAGTGTGAGGAATAGGTAAATTAAATATGTTTTGCGTTGTTATAAATGTATTGAAATTAATCTATACTAATTATATAAAGAGAAGTCCCTTTTTTTGTAACAGGTAATCTCGCGAACGGCTGGTCCGATTTTCATGAAATTTTGTATACAAATAGCTTCCGGTAACCACCATGTTTTAGGCTAAAAACATTTTACTGTTTTTCGGGTAGGTGGACCAGGAACCGGTCTAATCGAAAAAATCTTATTATAGTCCAATTTGCTTCAAATTTAGTACGTAAGTAGCTTTTTAGCATATATTAGCATATATGACCAATTTTTTCCGGAAAGTGGTCCAGGGACCGATCTATTCAAAAAAATCGAATTTACGGTCCGATTTGCTTAAAATTCGGTGCGCAGATAGCTTTTTAGCATGTATTAGCATATGTGATCAATTTTTTCCGAGAAGTGGACTAGGGACCGACCTATTCCAAAAAATTGCATTTATGGTCCGATTTGCTTAAAATTCGGTACGTAAGTAGTTTTTTAGCATATGTTAGGATGTATAGTCCATTTTTTCCGAGAAGTGGACCAGGGACTAATCTACTCGAAAAAATCGTTTTTACGGTCCGATTTGCTTAAAATCCGGTACGTAGGTAGCTTTTTAGCATATATTAGCATATATGATCCATTTTGTCCGAGAAGTGGACCAGGGACCGATCTGTTCGAAGAAATCGTATTTATGGTCCGATTTGCTTAAAATTCGGTACGTAGGTAGCTTTTTGCCTGGATAAGCTTATAGATTCCTGTTTTCCAATTTTCATGCAATTTCGAATATAAATAGCTTTAAGTAACGACCATATCAAGGGGCGAATTCGTCACTAGGCAAGATTTTTTTGCGCCAATCACAAAGAACGGATACTGTCAAAATATAATTATAATATATAATATATCTCAACTAATTTATATTTAGAAAGCCGTTTGTTAGTTTTCGCAAGGCTCGAGAGCGGCTGAACCGAAACTGCCACCTGCCGCACGTGTCCCAAGGATGGTTTTAGGCTGAAAAAAAATCTATATGTAAAGGGGGCGTGGCACTTCCCATACAAACCGAATTTCTCATGCTACATATCTCTGAAAGTGTGTATGGTAGAGTTTTGGAAATTGGTATGGAGATATACGAAATCAATCGCATACCCTTGGAGAAAAATTTTAGCTTTAGTAAAAAGGGGTGTGACATCTCCCATACAAACCGAATTTTTCATACTGCTTATCTCTGGAAATTTTTTGGTAGAGTTCTAGAGTTTTGTATGGAGATGTACGAAATAAATCGCATACTCTTGGAGAAAAATTGGAACTATTGGAAAAGGGGGTGTGGCATCTTCCATACAAACCGAATTTTTCATACTGCCTATCTTTGGAAGTGTTCATGGTAGAGTTCTGGAAATTGGAGTGGAGATATACGAAATCAATCGCATACTCATGAAGAAAGAGGGCAGGTGTTGGAAAGGGGGGCGTGGCTCCTCCCATATAAATCGAATTTTTATACTGCATATCTCTAAAAGTACCAAGAATTGGTACAGTACTGGAACTTCGTATGGAGATATGTATATAGTTGAAATTAAGCCCATACTCATGGAGAAAATTTGGGCTATTTGAAAAGGGGTGTGAGGCCTACAAACCTACCGAGCTTTAGCTATCTTTGAATGAATTTTTTTTTTTTCTTCTTAGGTAGGTGTGTTTGTGAGTGAAATCCTCCTAAATGATTGTACGGATTTTAACGAAACTTTTTGTGTATTTGAGTGGGTCTCTGGATGGTTTAGTTTCACAATTTAATCCGACAGATGGCGCTGTGGTCGAGTTATTACTAAAAATCTTATTTATGATCCGATTTGGCTAATGTTTTAAATATGTATGCAATACTATTGCAAAAACGTGCTGCCAAGTGGTGCTGAAGTCGAACTATTACTAAAAATAGCCAAGTGAGAAAAGGGGCCGTGAAGGTCAGATTAAATCGACCTTTTGCACCATTGAGTATATCGACGGTCCTGCGTTGCAATTGGCCCAATGGATGTGATTTTCCAATATTATTATGCGTTCAAACTTTTAAGGTACAGAACAATGATTCGCACCCATTTTGATTTGGCACCTACTATACTGTAAAGCTTCTAGGACATTCACTATAGAACCGGGTCATTGTTGCCGCCAGGGAGTGAAGAGGAAAAAATTTATTTCGCTTTGCGAATAACCGTGCTATGAAATGCCGCACAACTGGAGAATTTCAAGAATGGATATAACACTTTCCTTAGGTTATTTAAAGCGGCAAATGACCACCAAACCTTAATCTTAGCAGACAAATGTGCCAATGAAAATCGTAAACGTGAATTGTTGGTGAAAATGTTGGACAAAAA